TCGCCGTCTCCTGGATGTGCGCCGTCGGGGGCGTGGTCTCCAGTTCCTGGTGGACTGGGAAGGTTATGGTCCTGAAGAGCGAAGCTGGGTGGCGCGTTCTGCTATCCTGGACCCCCAGCTCGTCCGGGATTTCTACCGTCGTCGGGGAGACCGTCGGCTGTCCTGAGGGGCGCCTTGAGGGGGGGGACCTGTCACAGCTGCCGCTGAGCTGTGACCACTCGCACCTGATCGGCATCCGCCTGATCCTCAGCTGCTGCCATATTAGGACGGAACTCCTCCTGCACGGCGTCAGATTGTTGTGAAACCCTCAGCGGTAACACCTTCAGGCCTGCTGTAGTAACTGGAGCTAACTGCACAGTATCTAACCTGTCTGTCTCTACCTAGATTCCTCTCCTGTCCCCGATCCCTGACTCTCCCCGCTGGATAAGGACCTCCTGGCTTCGACCCCCTGTCTGTCTGACCCTGAGACTGCCTGATCCCGATTTGGATTCCCGGTTCTGACCCTGGCCTGTCTGACCAAGAATAAGCAATTTCCCAATAAACGTCTGGTTTGGTATTCACTGTTCAGTCCCTGTGTCCATCCGTGCCTGGGCGTGACAAGTATTATCAGTATTTCTGGTAATTCCAGAGATACTGATTATAATACACATTTTTACCTGCTCTTGTCTGCTCTGATATACACAAGCATAAATATACAAAATACCACATTACAAAATATCTCTATTCTAGAGTGTTGCAACTTAATGCCATTATTTTTTGTCTTTTACAAAGTTGTCCGATTTGTAGCTCACAATTCTGTTTCATAAGACAGATAACATAAGATAGTTTCTGTTAAAGATAGAAGACACACTCGCTTACCGATAACCACTGACAAGTTGGGCCATCCTATGTGGTCTGGCTGTTTAACTCTTTGCTACATGAGCAGGGCTTAAGAGGAGGCTTGTGCTTCGTCTTTCAGCTTTATGCTGTTCTTTCCCTTAAATTTAAGGACTTGTTTTGACATAGTTGTGTGGCAATAAGCATTTTGAATAGATAGTATTGTGTTTGGTGCTTAAGGTGACCACAAATAGGAAGGTTCACCAACTTTCCATGTTTTCTCTCTTTGTGGATAATGCTTTTGAATGCTTCTCTGTGTGGTTTGCAGAAGTTCTGAAACCTAAGAAATTACTTTGTTATCCTAGAACTTTGTTTATAATTTGTTACTTGAATTGACAGACTAGTCAATACTCTGGTATTTTTTTGAACCAAAAAAATTGGAAAAATCACACTCAACAGTTTATTAAAAAAGAGGGCAATGATATTTTCACATCAAGGATTCCCATTAAAAACTGCTCAGGAAAGTTTTTCTTCTAACTCTGACTATATTTAATATTAAATCTTTTAAATTTTTTGAAATTTTAAAATCATGTTTTTCTCTTTAGCAGTTCATAATCCATCTCTGGTTTGTTCTAATTGTACCTAAAGAATAAAATACTTGTCACCCTTCAACTAAGTTTGCCTCAACATTAATCTTAAAAAATATATTATGTATTTCACAATTTGATTAATGCTCTCATTTTGATTTTTAGAGAAAAGAGTCCCCAGGATATCGGTTCAGAGTGAAATCCCAGAAGGAAGTATTTTGGAGATCAACTGCAGCATAGAGCACTCCTGCCCACACTTTCCTCCATTAATTCAGTGGTACAGAAGCCAGTTTCTACAGAACTTCACTTCAGTGACATTCAGTTCACAAAGAGGGAACCTGTGGCTCTACGGAGAAACACTGCGGGGCATAGCTACTCAAGACATGCATAAAACCCAAATTAGATGTTCTGCTCAGTTCAAGACTTTGACCACAACGAGTCCTCAAATAACCCTCACCGTTTTTGGTAAGTGAAAGTTATATTGTAAGTTCAAATGAACAACACAAACATTTATTTATCTATGAATTTTATCATTAAAGATTTGTCTTTATTTTTTGTGTCTACAGGTCAACCTGTCAATGTGAAGATAGAACTGGAAAAACCCATAATAATAGAAGGAGGAAGTGTTACTGCAAATTGCACTGCTAACAGTAACTCTCAACCCCACACATACTCATGGATCATAAGGCAGATGGGTATTAGCAGCAAAATGAATTCAACAGAGAGAATAATGTCCTTTCACAACATTACTAGAAATACGTCTCTGTTCTGCATGGCTTACAATAACTTTGGAGTAGGACAATCAGACTGGATGGCTCTACTTGTTCAGTGTACGTAAATAAATATTTTTTTAAATGTAATTATCAATGGATAAAAGCATCACAAATTTTTACAGCAAAGTCTGACAATGTAGTTTGGGCCAGATATTGTCATTCAGGTGTTTGATTAAATAGACAATTATGGCCTCATGGTGTCTTTCCTAAATGTCAGAATAATTAATGATAGATAATGCTCAACCTTTTTTTACTTTGTTAAAATTTAGATGTGTATAGATATACATTCCCTTTGCATTTAGTAGAATCACTCTTTATACTGCACCTCTTTTTCCACATGATTGTTGGAATTTTGACCCATTTCTCCTGACAGAATTTGTATAACTGTCATAGCTACAGGCTGTGTTCATAGGAAACATTTTCAGCTCTATCCACAAATCAATGCTTCGTAGCAACTTCTCCGAAAATTGGCCTTTTGGGCACCATTTTACAACATATTAGTTAAGAGATTTCAGTTTATAATAAATGTCAATAATTTACTCCATCTTGATAGATGCTCCAACCATACTTCCCGAGTCCTCCTGCAGCCTGATGGAAGATCTTCTGAGGTGCTTTTGCCACGTGGAGGCCTTCCCTTTTGCTTCCATATCTTGGGATATTGCTGAAAATGACTCTCTTATTTCATCAGTCACCACCAACAATACAATCAGGGCAAATGTAGTGTCTGAGGAAATTAATTTGCCAATATTAAACCAGAACAGAGTAAAGTGCAAAGCCTGGAATGAATTTGGCAGCGACACCAAGCAGCTGATTTTTAACATTACGTCAGAAACGTGTAAGTAAAATTCTTGGTGACGACTGTCTTTGTCTATGTCCTATCTTATCTTATGTCCTCTTTTCTGCAGCTTCATCACTTACGTTGTTATGGTTGATGATTGTGGGATGTATTTTTATTCTGGGACTCGCATTTTGTATTAAGCGAAAATTGAACATGAGCAGGTTGGTTGTCTTTACTTCTTGTCTTTGGAAAAGTTTACACTACAACAGATTGACTAGTCGTAGATTGTAATCTTTTATGTGTTTTTTTTTTTCTATGAGAATTTTAATTTAATTTGCAACATCAACATAATACCTTTGCTTTATTCTGAAGGGCACAACAGTCTCCAGCAGTTGTCCAACTGGAAGAACGGAACTACATATCACTAAGGTACAAAGAACTACTTTTATGTTTTACAAAATTAAAACAATGAACCACAATTTTACCTAACACTACTGAAATGCATGAAATAAAAACGTATATCAATCTAACCTTCACTGTGTTAACTTTCTTCTGCTTTTTATTAGATTTGAAGACTCGGACACAAACCAACAGACACCTGAAAATAACCTTGAGGAAAACGCATGGTCTTGTGTTTATGACAATGACTTTTTGGAAGACATGAGGACTTCAATGGGACTTCAGCAGCAACACAATAAAACATTTTGTGATGAAACATGAGATAGAGCCAGTCTCAAAGCTCATTTATGGAAAGGTAAATTATTTATTTACAACATATTGGTTGTCATGCAGATTAAAAGATAATCCCTGGAAAGTGATTATATTCTCCATTTATCTGCTTTTGTTTAAATAAAGTTAAACCAATATGCTTTTCTTACTTTGAACAATATCCAAAACTTAATTTTCACTGAATGTTTGAAAGTATTCATCACAGACATTCATTCTGCAGGGTGTATACAGCAACATAAATGATGACTGCATTGAGAAAACCTATTGTGACACAGTTGGCTTCATTGCAGTTCCTCTTCTTTCAAAACATATTTAAAGCAGCCATAGTTGTCTGTATAAGTTCTTTTTGCAAATAAACAACAATGTAAGTGTGTAGATATTTAGAGTGCTGTCATTGTTCAAAATATCAGGTGATATTTTTTAGCATACAGACTGCTATGATTATATTTGGCCAAAGAGTAATGCAAGCATGAGCCATTTCAAAAAGACTGCTATGAAAACCCCAATGAAGATTCTGCTACCACTTTGGGTGTATATAAAGCCTATTCTAAAACAGTCACTAAGGCTCTGAGTTTCTTACGAGCTGAATGTTGAGGCACAGCATTCATTCTCAGGAAAGCTATGTTTCTTGTTTCGCTCAAAGTTCACTCAAAAAGAAAGCAGGCCCATATTAGTATGCAAAGTTTAAAGGAAATGAAATTTTGCATTTTAGTTAATATTAACTGGATGGTGAATGCTCATTACTCAGCTTAGGATGAATGAGGCTCTGTCATGTTTCAGTGTGACTACTGTAGGTGTTTCTGGGTTGCACCATTTTATATTGTGTCATCTTTAAACTGAGAGCACATAGAACAAAGAAATGCTTAACTGAAGTCAGCACCCAAAGACTTGTGACTTATTAGCATTTTACAAGCCCTCAGGTAAGTAAGCTTTGTTTGTCTCATCAAAGAAAATTCTGATTAAAGCTGTAATTTGTATTACAGCTAACAGGAGGTATAACTCCTGTTTGTTTGTCTTAGACCTGAAACGAGAGTAGAGTCAGAAAAGGCCTCATGTAAGACTTTTTCTGACTTTAACCTGTGTACTTCTGCTGTGTTGCTTGAAAACACAGCAGTGCATTTTTTTTTTTTTTATTAAAGCACAAGATACCGTTTTCTTCAAAATTGAAGAAAATGAAAAAAAAATAGGGATTTAATTTGTTTTTGTTTTAGGAGTCAAAATAATTGTTATACATTCATGAAACTGGCCTTTGCCAGGGACTCTAACAGGCATTTTAAACGCTTTTTTTTTCTTATCTTCTTTTGTTCAAGGTCCATAATGGAGTCAGTGGTGAGAAGTGAGATTATTCTGACATTTTATATCATTTCCTTCCTGATTGGCCTTCCAGCCAATCTGGTGGCTCTTTATGCCTTCAGTGTCAAAATCCACTGCAAGCCGCTCCCAACAGACATCCTGCTTCTGAACCTGACTGTGTCCGACCTGCTCTTCTTGATAATCCTTCCTCTCAAGATGCACGAGGCAGCATCAGGGATGCAGTGGAATCTGCCCAACTTCTTGTGCTCCATCACCTCCTTTACCTTTTTCTCTACAATATACACCAGCTCCTTACTGCTGATGGCCATTGCCGTGGTCCGCTACATAGGAGTGGCCTTTCCTATTACCTATCGGCTATTGCAGAAACCTGTGTACCCGATCATCATCAGTGCTGTTATTTGGCTGATCTCAATGGGACACTGCAGCATCACTTTCATCATCCAGCACCACCCATCTCTCTCCAGCATAAACTCCTCTGTCTGCTATGAGAATTTTACATGGAAGCAGCTGGAGATTCTCCTCCCAGTGCGTTTGGAGTTTTTCTTTGTGGTCTGCTTTATACCTCTTATAATTTCCATTTTCTGCTACCTGCGCTTGATTTTAATTCTGTACAGCCGTCCCAGGATATCCTGGAAGCAGAAAAGGAAGGCTATTGGCATGGCCTTGGGGACTCTTGCTGTGTTCCTCATTTGTGTTCTGCCATACAATTTCTCTCATCTAGTGGGTTTCTTCCAGGGTAAGAGCCCTGAATGGAGGTACTACACTTTGCTTCTCAGCACATTAAATACCTGCATCGATCCTATCATATTTTATTTTTCCTCCTCAATCTTCCACTGCACTAGCAAAAAATCTATTTTCAGAAAGCATCGTCTTGATGTAAAAATGGAAATAAGGGACACATTTTCAAACTGAATCTGAATTTTAATCCTATTTGTTTTTAAAGTAGCACTCTAGGGTTTCTTTATTATTTGATTTCGACTCAGTTCTGTTGAAGTTACCTACTGCTGTTTATTATTAGCCCAAAACCTTGGTTAACCTTTTAAGAAGGCTTCGCAATATTACTAGTCATCAGGAAGTTGTCAGGTTTAATTTGGTTGGCATATTAGTTCCTGTCTTTTAGAGTAGGTGAGATACTCTGCACTAATGTTTTCAGTAGATACATGTATAGAATTAAGTAAAAGTATAAAAAGTAAAAATAAATTAATTCATCTTCATTTGCACATAGATCAAGAATAAGTTCTATGTTCTTATTCTTGTTCACATTCAGTATTCAAATTAGACAAATAAACTGCATTTAAAATATGTATTTTTGTGTTGGGTTTGAAGCTATATTACTGTGTGTATCCTAAGAGCTTTAAAAATATAGTGATTTAAAGAAATAAAGTTTTAAATACCAACTCATAACAACAGCAAATGTGGGATTTTTTTTCTGAATGAAAAAGGCACATCATTTTACACTCCCTCGTACATTTTAGCATACTGCATAAATTCCTCCAGTAATATGTGATATCATAAAATTAATTTCTTATGTGTTAAACAACCTTCAAAGAGGAAATGGTTGTTGCTGTGCAATCCTTGTAGAACAAAGATAAACATCATTTAAACACACTAAAAGAGTTGTGCAGTAAACTCACTGTCATATTTGGCCATTGTTATACAGAGAGCTGCTGTGGAAGCTGCTGAAGGTGATTACATAACCCTCACTGAAGTTCATGTAATCACAATGGACTGATGTTAATTTCTAGATTCAGTTGGAAAAAAATAAGACTAGAAGGATAATATCAGGATAATTCTATGTTCTAGTTATTTAAATTACATATTTCAGTGCAGATATAGCCACAAGGCAGCTTTAACAAATGCTTTCTGTAATTATGAGCTTTAGGCATTTTTTGTGTATTGTGTATTCCATGTCTCAAGTTGCAGTAACTAAAAACTTGTAACAACAGAAGAGTTTAAAAACCTACAGGAAAAAAAAAAGTGATTGGGTTGACTCCTTTAGGGAGAATTGCCAAAGGAAATCACAACCACATCTGTGTTTGTCAAAGCAGGACCTTACTAGTCAGAGATTTTGTGCTGAAACAAAACCTAACATCACACATCAGAGGGATTAGAGGAAAATCAACACAGATTTTTACATGAGACTTATAAACTGATTTCTCATGAGACTTATAAACTGAGAAGTGGATCGAAATGACTGAGGGAGGCTGGGTACGGATAATGACTGAATGAACATGAGGGGGAAAACAAAGGGACAGGAAAAAATCAACTAAGCAAAACCAGAGTAAGCACAAAAGTCAGGAGAGATATAAATCATACAAATATTCCAAAATAAAGCACAGTAGGCTCACAATATGTAGTCAAAGGTAACAAAAAAGCTCAGCAAAAAATGACCAAGTACCTAAAGGTCCAAACAAACAAACAAAAAGCAACCCAAAGTTTGATTTAATTCCTACTGTGAACAGTTTTGAATTGAAATAAATAGCAACCTGAAGGTGTGAGAAGTGACGTATGAGTCACAAAAGTCTTTAGAGTGAAGAGCTGTTTCCTGTTCATTCAATACTAACTCATCGTTGAAGTCAACAGGCATATTAATTTTCTTATATTGTTCTACTTTCAAAGACAGTGACAACATTGGATGTTGACTGCTGCATTAGGCAAGTACATATCTTTATCTTGTAAATCAATAAATGTCGGGGTTTTTTGCTTCTAAAATTCAATATTTTCTGTTTAGACTTGAGCAAATTGGTGCCAGAGAAGAGCCATTTCTCTCATAAAGTTAATATATTATCAGTTACAGAAACAAAATGATATTGACAATGAGGTTATGACAAGATATATAAATTAGATTTCTAATTAAAACTGGGAAATGTTTTATCATATATATATATATATTTCTAATGAGTATTTTCATTATTTTAGGGCAACTAGATTACTATTTTGGGGAGTTACACTCTAGTAGCATAGATAGTATTTATGAATAATGTTTTCTATATGCTGTCTCTACAATGTACATTTTGACAGTTTTTATTTTTCTACTGTCAGGATCAAGATGATTTCATCGGTGAAAAGTCAGATTATTCTGACATTTTACATCATTTCCTTCCTGATTGGCCTTCCAGCCAATCTGGTGGCTCTCTGTGCTTTTAGCATCAAAATCCACCACAGCCCTCTTCCAACAGACATCCTGCTTCTGAATCTGACTGTGTCCGACCTGCTCTTCTTGATCATCCTTCCTCTCAAGATGCACGAGGCAGCATCAGGGATGCAGTGGAATCTGCCCAACTTCTTGTGCTCCATCACCTCCTTTACCTTTTTCTCCACAATCCACACCAGATCCTTGCTGCTAATGGCAATCGGCGTGGTCCGGTACATCGGAGCGGCATTTCCTGTTATCTACCAACACCTCAAGAAACCTGTGTACCCGATCATCATCAGTGCTGTTATTTGGCTGATCTCAATGGGACACTGCAGCATCACTTTCATCATCCAGCACCACCCCTCCTTGTCCAGTTCAGACTCTTCTATGTGCTATGAGAACTTCACAGAGAAGCAGCTGGAGATTCTCCTCCCAGTGCGTTTGGAGTTTTTCTTTCTGTTCTGCCTGGTGCCTCTTTTAGTTACTATTTACTGCTACCTGCGCTTAATTTTGATTCTGTACAGCCGTCCCAGAATATCCTGGAGGAGGAAGAGGAAGGTTATTGGCATGGCTTTAGGGACTCTTGCTGTGTTCCTCATTTGTGTTGGACCATACAACTTTTCTTTTTTGCTGGGCTACTTCCAGCAAAAAAGCCCAGTGTGGAGATACTACACTTTGCTCCTCAGCACGTTGAACACCTGTATTGATCCAATTATATTCTATTTTTCCTCCTCTGTCTTCCACTTCACAAGCGATAAATCAATTTTCAGAAAGCACTGGAGTAAATGGAGAAAAGGGACAAATTTAGGGCACTAATTCATGATCAATGTGTATTCCATCCCACATGAAGCCATTGAAATTGGTTGAAATTGATGACAGCTTTGTCATCTTTGACAGGTTATTTTCTGTTTGCTACTATGTACCAGCAGCTTTTTCTGAGTACACATGAAGATAGTACTTGTACAACAATAAAAGTCAATTGTAATGATGATCCTGCCAAGAAATATACACAAAGACAAAATTAGAAATGTGTATTTTCATATACGCTAGGTGGCCTATTTGTAGTTAACTTTAATATGTTGTTTTTTAAATAAATCCTTTAAACAATGACCATCTGCATGTCACAGTTTTTATGTATCATATGAGAACAAAGAAAGTACTTTGCTCTTTTATAATTAAATAAAAGAGCAAAATAATTAACTTATTTCTGAGGAATTGGAGGTTGTGAGATGATTTATTTTACAATAAATCTGCAAGCTCTCATACTGCTTTGGATACAAAGTGATGAATAATGACAGTTATTTAAAGGTCACCTAATTTGGATATTGCCTTAACTATTAGACAAGAAGACATATGTGTTGTCCTATTTTGCATTGGTAAAATCTTTGGACCAGCACGATGTAATTCCTACAGAAATACAATGTAGATGTTGGCTGCTGCCCATGGAGCAGTATCCAGCAATGGTTTTGTTTTGCTTCCAAACAAAACCATTGTGAGATCAAATCTGAAAATATATTTTTTTCTTTCACTAAAGAACATGTTTTCTTTCACTGAGATGTAATTCATAATATATAAATTATGGAAAGCACATTTATGTGCACTGACTATCTCAAGCTACTCACAGTTGGACCCTGCTATTAGACTTAAAATATGTTCAATCACATTTTGATTTACTTAAATGTCAGGCAAAGAAAATTAAATGTGAATTTTAATACAGTGGGCAGAGCAACTCATAAAATCTGGATTAAGTTTTCTTATAAATATTGAGCTATTTATGGCAAAAAACCTAGCCCCATTCTCCTCTGAGAAGTTAATTAAATAGCATAAGTCTTAAATAAGTTTGAAATAAGGAATGAACATTTAAAATCTAAAAATTTATTCAGATTTTAAAGTTGTTTGATCAAAATGAAATCTTCAGACATCTTGGGCCAAGTGTCTGCAGAGGCAGCCTTGAAAGTCTTAGATACATTTTTGGAATACATAATCTTAGTTGCAGCTGTAACCTGACTTTATGATTTTGTTTACTGGGTTTTTTATTGGGTCAGAGTCCTAAATGAAGGGACTACTGGCCTTCTTAGCACACATATTCAATATTCCACTGGAAAGTTGACAAGTAGAAGTTCAAGATCATGTTTCTTTATCTTGTGTTCATTACATAAGAGAGCAATTCAATAAAGAGTGAAGCAAAAGTTACCAGTGTTGGCGAAAAAACAGATTAGGTGTTTGCATTTATGCTCAGGTTTATGGTGTGTTCCACCTTAAAGTGTTGACTTGTTTCTGACAAAACAACATATTTCTGATATCTGCAAACATCCTGATTTTATTTGACCTCAAAAAGTTTTCTAATGGCGTCAATGCGGGTTTCCTTTGTTGCTTTTTGTTTTGAAGTGTCATTTCCTGCTTGTTTCAACGAGGGCTTGCCACTCTTCTGCACTCATGCATTCTGTAGGCACACATGTAGAATATACCTGTAAAACAAACATGAGTTGTAAAGACAGAATTATTAACCCCATTGGGCACTTTTCACAACAAACATGCATATCAAGGTAAGAGAAAAGAAAACATCCACAATCAGAATGAAATAGTATGAGCAGAAATGTCCTTTGATTTGACGTTCAGGTGAGATGGAAGTGGTCTGGAGTTCTTAATAAGTGACACTGGGCATTCTGGGTGTGATGCCATTTGGTTTGAGTTGTTACTTTCATTTTTACAATAGTTCCCTTGCATAAATAAAAAACAAAAGAAACAGGGGCAACAATTGTGTGCTGGAAATCCCCGGGCACAGTATTCTCAATCTATAAAAACATGGAGGGACCAGAAATCTGTCTCTGCTTTAGCCCCTCTAAAACAGCGGGCATAACAATGGGCAACAGTTGTTGTCCTGTTGTGAATGTTTTCTTTCATTCTGCTTTGACTTGAATTGGTTTAGCTTCTGTTTTTTTGTTTTTTTTTAATTGGATTTTGCTATTTCTGATTTCTTGCCATTCCCATCTTGCCTGACAAACATGATGCGGAAGGTATTTATATGCTTAATTTGAAAGATTGAATGTTTATCACCAGTAAAACACAATATTTCAACAAAAATGTTCATCTTAAAAGTGTTAACCAACCTCCAAAAAAGGTCATGAGTAGAGCCACCCAGCCAAGTATGTAGGACCAAGAGAAACGCCAGTCACCAAATCGCTTGCCCAGGAAGTTCACCGTCACTCCCGTGTAAATAGCCATTGCAAGCAGGACAAAGAGAGCTATTGTGAAGAGAAAGATTCATCATAAGATGTCTATCCTTAAAATGAACAGTCTCTTCATTTCATTGTTACATGGCAACTATTAGACAAGCAGATGTCAATGTTCTCTATCATTTCTATTCTAAACAACCTTTGATAAATGTAGCAACAAACAAACAAAAAAAGAATGTGGGCTGCATTTTTATTGCTGTATATATGACTTACTTGAAACAAAGAACATGATGCCTGCAGCAAATGAGCGATTAAACCTCTCAAAAGCGGAGAAGTGAGCAAAGGAGAGGATTCCTGCGATGATGCCAGCAAAGCAGGTCATGGCGGAAAGGATCATGAAAGCTCGAGTGGCATTCCAGTAAGCTAAGTAGAAGAGGACAGGCTTAAGAATGACTCCATGGAAGCTATGCACAACAAGAAATTTAATTAGCTTGACCAGGCAGTACATGCAGTTTAAATAAATGATTGTATTTCCAATCCCTGTGAAACTTTTTCAATGAATCCTATTCTTATAAGATCTTTAAGTGTAGCTTAATTTAAAATTGAAATTCAACTCAGCTTATATGTATAGGGTCATTTCACAACAAAGGTCATCTCAAGAAACTTTACAAAAATAGTTTAGGAATAGTTTGAAATAGAGTGTGCTCAATAATGCAGACATTATTGATGAATGTCGGCAATGTGTTTTTGTGTAGAAATAATATTATGAATGATTTGTTTTGTGAATTTTCTGGTTTGTGTAAGAAAAACTAATTATTACCACTTCAGTCAACCTGGTAACAAATTAGTAAACAAGACAAGTTTGTATTTCAAACCTTTGACTAAGAGATGTGAGAGATTTGAAAAGTTAAACTTTCTCTCTTGGGAATTTTTTTTCCCTTCAAAATCAAGACCTTTTAAATGTTTATCACTGAGAAGAGAATGTGTGTTTTCACAATCAGGGTCATGAAAGTTGTAGCTTAAATTAAAATTTCTTGCAGCCTTATTATTTGGTGTTTTAATGTGATACACAAACTAATAATTATTATTTTAAAAAAATGAAATTCCAATGCTCATTATGCAGATGTTTTGGATTTTTAACATAAAAAATTTCCTTTACGAAACTGAGCTCATAGGTGGAAAACAGATAACATTCAGACGAAGCATGGCTTAGTGATATGACTCTTTAAAGCTGCTTGTTAAATAACACGTCAACAGGAAAGCAGAAATCGCATAGACTAGATGAGGATGTGGCTGTCCTTACTCATTGCACTTCTGAGGCTCCACTTTTCTTACAACTTGAAGAATTTCATTTTTATTGTAAAATAGTAGGGAAATAATTCCATCACATGCTAAAAGAAAGGACAGTGGAGACAAGCATTTCATGGAATGCACTTAGAATGTCCAACTCACCAATGCTGTCAGTTTGCATGTAGCATTTGCCAGACATGCAATATCTCCACAGGCCCTGATGGGCAAAGCTGCCCGACAGGCGGTACTGCATCCAGTAGTCTGTTGCTGTTGAGACCACCAGCAAGATGTTTCCCACAATGGCACAAAACAGGCCCCCTCCCATGAAGCTGTACATCATGAGTGACACTAAAGTATCGGCAAAGGATTTGTGCACTGCAAAAGGAGTAAAAGTATGGAAGTTAATGATAAAACTGACCCTAGCAAATGTATGAACTCAAGTCAGATGCAAGTCACTTCTTTAAAGACCTTATACTTGGGTTGTTGATAAAATCATAAGACTTGGAAATTGATTCGGACCTAAATACAGTGACTCATCATTTCACTTGAACTTTAGTCGGTTAAGTGGAACCCAGGTGATATCTCAAACTAAACACAGTATGTTATTTTAAACAAAGGCTGTTTATATATTTCCTGAATAAACTCTTAACTTTATTAGTCATCATTTGGTTTACACTGGCAACTAAGAGAGAGGCAAGATCATGTGTCACTGGATTTCACAAAATTGACACACCACAACTGTTCTTTTTGAAGTAAAATGGGTCTTCTGAAACCTAAAAATATGCACCCAATCTGAAACCAGGTGTTTTATGTTTCACATCCTGTTTTAAATTATTAAAACCCATTTCCCAATTCTGCATGTCCTTACTTGAGATGTGACTGAAGTGGAGAGGCATAAGGCTGACTTATGAGTTTAATCTCCAGCACCACAAAAAGCTCCACACCAAGTAAACATCATTTCATAATATTTTTATATACACATGTATATTTTCATTGTAGATTTCTTATTATCTCTGCATTGTCTATATTTTTATGAGGAAAACCAAGAACACATTATACAAAACTGACAGAGGAGATGCAAAGACTTCCAGTTAAATTCCCAAAAGCTTTTGAAGGCCTTTAGGGCCCACAAGTAAGACATGCACCTGTTGGCTTGAGTGGAGTCAGCCATTGTTAAAACGGAGACCACTCCACATCAACCTACCTGAATTCCTCAGGATATATGAACCCTCTTAGGTATCAGCCCTTCCTCAGGGAGAGAGTGAGAGATAGTGCAAACCAGGAGTGAGTAAAACGTCAACGAGGAAGCTGTAGGCTGAATTCCAAAAGGTTATCACCCTGACTTTCTGTTGATGGAGGCAAAATCCTTCAAAACAATCAGCACAGAACAAATGCACTTGAGCTGGTGGGCCACAAGTCACGTGACACATTCACATTGAACTAC